AAAACGAGAGCCAGCATCGATGGGGGACATATTCATACATTCATGTTAACTGACGGTAAAAACAATATGATATATGAATATGTCCTTCCCCATGCATTTATCGAGTTGGCGTTCCCCATGCATTTATCGAGTTGGCGTCCCCAAATTGCTATCGAAACAGGCAAATTTCGAAGGTATAATGAAAGGCAGTGAAGATTTTTAATGTCCGAGAACGAACAAAAAATACCAAATCTATCAAATTATCAAGTTATTGCCATATAAACTGTTGCTCCACGACGGAAAACGAAGATTCCGTGTAAACGAAGCCTAACGCCTGTATTATAAAAGCTCACTCACACTTAAACTCATTGAGTGGGAGATCTCGATCACTTCCCGGTGATTCCTTTGCGGTATTTTAACTCAAGTAAGAGCTTGATTTCAATGTTTCACCGCCAAATACTTCCACTGATTGAAAAGGGACTATTTTAATTTTTATTCTTCAGTGGTAAAACAACTTCCATGTCACACTCAATGATTGTGGGTGTTCATGAGTGAGCTTTTTTAATACGTTTTACTTTATATATATGGCACAAAATCATGAGATATTATAAACAAGCTAGTTCATCAGTGGGACTTATATGCTGATATAGACTGTTTAACTGTATAAATTATCTCCGGGGAAGTTTGAAAATTTTTGCCTGACTTTTACCATGCATGCATAATCACCAGATTTAAGGTTCCTTATACCGATCGAGCATAAACATTCGCAAACTCTTAGTTTTTGGAAGCAAATATATACATTAACGTCAGTCTAAAGGAAATTTCGAAAGCTATGGGTAGCATGTAAGAGTCAAATTAAAATCCATTTATTTACTCATTTGAAAACTGAAAAGTTCGAAAATCACGTTGCGTTGCCGAATACCGTCCGGTTTGCGTGGGGTACTAATCCATGTTTTGCCATCCCGTTTCAGAATATCCTTTATCTCATTCTGGTTGTCATGTTGGTCGTCAAGTACAACGACACCAAACCAATGAATCAACGTTCAAAGAGAGCTGCTGTTTCGTGTTCGACCCCGGCAAAAATTAGCCACAAGCTGGACCTTAAACTGAGGCCATTTTCAATAAAAATGATAACATGCAAAGCCGGTTGCTACTCGGCTCATGGTGTAGCCACGGTTTTCAACACGACCAGCAAAAAGATCCAAGCATTACCTATGGTTGTTGCCTGCCTCGAAAAAAACACATGTCCAGGAGAGAAAAGACAGGAAAAACCCGTGCTCAATCTGATGCGAAAACCAGAGGTAATGTCCATCGTTAAATGTAAGAAGCCGGAAGATGAGCTTTACGTCGTGTTGCCTGTCTTTAACGTCAAAAGGGAGGAGGTGGTCTTTGAAAAGGTTGTCTATGATTGTAAATGCGCGTGTTCCGGCCAAAAAGGATAAATGGCCTCAAAATTATTAAAGTTGTTTTTAAGATAAAGGATTATAGTTGATAGTTGTGCTATTATATTACACTGCATGCGATTAGTATATTCAAGTAAAGTATATTTAAGTATTCTGAGTTTAATGTACACTTATAACCTTTTAGTAAGTAGTACATTAATATAGAAAGTATATATTATATATATAAGATAAATTATTTAAGATATTTCCACTGTGAGGAACCTTTCGACATCATATCTGCCACGATTATTTGGATGTTTATATTAAATACTTCAAATATAATGTTTATGTGTAAATATTGATGTAAATTAGAATTCGAAAGGAAAATTAAATCTTATTTAATATAACTGCATTATATACATAGTTATCACTGAAATTTGTTTTTAGTGTAATTCTTCTTGGCTACAGTATGTATCCGAACAAAATAGGGACACATGCATCATGGCTGACATAGGGCGGAAGGGAACTACCTTTTTCGGGTGGCTGTTGTCAAAGCTTCTTATGGATAGACCGTGAAAAAACTGGAATCCTGGCGCTTAAACTGATGTCATCAATTTCATCAGTTGTAATTAACTGAACGTTCCTTAGTACTCGCGGAACGGAATCGTATAGAGCAATATTTTGCTGTACTATGGTAGTTAGACATGCATTTGGGCATTATAAAATAAATGAGAAGGTGCCTACCCCTATACCCCACTGACGTAAAAAGAAAGGAAATCCAAACCGTTCAGGAAAATACCAACTCAAACGGCCAAATTGCCCACTTGTAGCCTTCCACCTTTGACAATCAAACTACCCCTACTGGCTACAGACAAATTTTAGTTGCCCTTTTCATTCGCTAAACTTAAAATGATTCCTACGCCAATGAAGCCCCGTTCATACTACATTTAAGTAATAAAAACTCCTATAGAACGATTTAATATAATATTTATCGATACACCGTATCAATCCCGCTTCCAAGCGAGCAGAGACAAAATTGCCATTCGAACTGTTTTGTTAAGGGTTTTCTATATTTGAATCCCGATTAGGCTGAGCGTCGCGTTTAAAATTGCGTATTCGATATTCGCTGTACAGGTTGAATATTTACCTAGCGCCTGCTGCATATACATTTATATTTGATTTATTCGCTGCGTTTATTTCGTTCGCAGCATACATGGTTTTATGCTAGATAGCAAGCATTTACTTAAGGAACCTTGCGTTATAAGTACCTTAAGATACACCAAATCTACGACGCGGAATTGACATAAAATGTTAGGAACACGTGCAGTTTTGATTAGTTTTAAATACAACTCTGACCTTGTTTACCAAAAGGATTCAATAATTTTTATTCCTGTTGTACAACTGCAATACTGCATGTGGAAATGAAGACAGTATTACTTCACGCCCACGTCGTATATTTGGTGTATCTTATCTTAAGGTCATAAGGTCCTCAATGACGAGTCTTTCAACCTAATCCACGCTATTTTCAATTTATCCTATTAGCGCCATGCAGCTCAGTGAGTTTATTCTATTATGCGTCACAGCTGAGCTTACTGCATTTGCAAATAAAGCAGTAATTGAGTATGCTTATCTTATATATTCAAAACGCTAAATTTACGAGTTCTATGACTATCCATGTATATTGTGTAACATTTTTTATCATGCAACTCTATACAGTCTTAAATTCGAGCCCAATTAGATATAACTCTCTGGCGTTTGCTGTAATCGGTAAGCTAAATATGCTTTCAAATATGAGCTGATATACGGTGGGTAGCTCGACCAATCAGATTGCGGAATAGCTCAAATACAGTGAGTAGCCATATTAAAACTTTAAATATTTTACTCTGTAAATCATATCTCTATTGAGTCTAATTGTTCTTGTAAAATAACGCACAATTCAGTCATAGTTGTCTGCAATGTGTTTTCTGAAATAAATCTATCTATTGAACCGCAACGCTACGATCCGACCCGACCAGCAGAGTTTTAATTAGTTTTACATACACCTCTGATCTTGTTTACCAAAAGGATTCAATAATATTTATTCCTATCGTAAAACTGCATGTGGACAGTATTACTTCACGTCCGCGTCGTAGATTTGGTGTATCTTAGGGTCATAAGGTCCCTAAAGCCGGTTTTCCACTAGCGATAATTTTCGCGCGAAGCGACTTTATTCTTTTGTATTTGAGCAATTTGTTCCAGATGGTTGCAGTTGAGAGATCTGGTACAAAAGTAAATTGTCGATTCGCGCGAAAAATATCGCTAGTGGAAAGCCGGCTTAATGACGATCTTTCAACCTAATCCAAACTAATTTCAATTTATGCTATTAACGCCACAGCTCAGTGAGTTTATTTTATTATATATGCGTCACAGCTTAGCTTACTGCTTTTGCAAATACAGCAGTAATGGAGGATGCTTATCTTATAATTATTCAAAACGCCAAATTTACGAGTTCTATGATTATGCATGTGTATTGTGTAACATTTTTTATCATGCAGCTCTACTTTGAAGTGTGTATAATTCCACTCGAAATTGACACCCTTAAACCTCTAGAATGCAACTCTACAGTCTTAAATTCGAGCCCAATTAGATATAACTCTATAGAGTTTGCTGTAATCGGCAAGCTATAATGCTTTCAAATATGACTCACATCACTGACATCACTGACATCGATTGCGAAGGACATAAAACAGTCGGCGAGTAACAATTCTTATATTCCTTTTGTCCCATGCTGTAAATGATTTGGGCAATCGGGTCAATTTGCCCAAAACACGGGAGGCCAAAACACGAAGTCCGTACTTTGATCGGTTCTACACGGCTATTACAGGGAGAAGAAGAGGAGCGCCAGTGGCGTAGCCAGCCTGACGATTTTGTCCCGCTATGTAAATTTCGAGTTATTATAATTATTCGTGCCTTTAGAAATCTATTGTTTTCACAGTCAGTGAACACCAAAATATTAGCATAGCGGGACAAATCGACAGACTGGCTACGCTACTGAGGAGCGCATATCCAAATACTAATTTGTTTTATCGCTTTTCATGTAAAGATTGTAGGTTATGACACCACATATCAGGCAGAAGCTTTTTAACACGACTAAGCATGCAATAAGATACGTCGGAGGAAGTGGAATAATTTCCGATTCCGTGGTATTTGTCATTTTGATGCTTTGTCAGCAACTGCTGGAAAAATGGGAAGAAAATATGAAGTAGCACAAGGCTGTGTTTAGTGATCGATTCACAGTATAATTATCACGTTAAAATTAAGGCGGCCAAGAGACAATTAATAATACACAGGGTGTCTCCAAAAAAGTCTCCCTTATTGAAATCAAGCCTTTGTTCGAATCTGATTGCCTTAATATTATGATAAACCCAATTGAAAGCAATTAAGACGCTTTATTTCAATGCCTCAACCTAATAACTATGCTAGCTATACTATTTACACATCACTGCGTTGATCAGTAATGATCAAAATGATGTCCAACGAAAGCTTCATTTCAATAGGGGAGGACTTTTTTTTGGGACACCCTGTACAGGGTGTAGATAATAACTATAATATATGAATTACTAGCTGTAATCGACAAGATATAGTCGTTTCAAATATGACTCACATCAGTCGATTGCGCACGACAGAAAACAATTGGCGATAACAGTTCTTATATTCCTTTTGTCTCATGCTGTAAATGATTGGATTCACAATGGCGTTCGTTCCCGCGAGATCGCCAAGCAAAATGATGACAACTTCAGGGACGCAATTAGAAACTAGACTGTTTATCAAGATAACGGTTGTAAACGGAACAAGGCAAAATAAGAAAACACCAACTACGATTACAAATGTTTTCACTGCTTTCATCTCTCTTGTTATTTTATGCCAGGGACGCATTTCTAATGGCGAGGAGGATGGAATATCATGAATACAAGCTACACGATTTGTGTGCATCCTTTGAGCATGTCCACTTGCTAATTGGAAAATTTTGCAGTTGTAGTAGAAGATTAGACTAACAGGTATGACAACGTAGATTATGGCAGAGGTTAAGACGAGAGCAATTGGTCCAAAACACAAAGTCCGCACTTTGGTCGGTTCTTCGTATACGGCTATTATCGGAGGAAAAAGGGAAGCGCATATCCAAATGCTAAGAAGAATACCGTAGGTTCTCTTCCATGTCATGATCAATGGGTATCTGAGAGGCGATGATACATATAGGTAACGATCAATTGTGATCGCTAAAAGCGTTAACGTTGAAACAAATATGAACAGAAATCCAATTGTGTAACTAAATTTGCAAAAAAAGATTGCATTGCTTTGTACTTCTTTGAGTATCATACCAAACTCTGCAATCCATGTTGGATAAATAGCCAAGCAAGTTAGAAGGTCTGCGCAGGCCAAGTTAGCAACCAGATAACTCGTTTGCGTTTTATCGCTTTTCAGGTAGAGGTTATAGATTATGACACCAACGTTTCCGAGAACACCAAATACCAGGCAAAAGCTTTTGAACACGATTAACGCAATAAGGTAAGCTCGAGAGAGTGAAGTAATTAGTTCTGATTCCGTTGTGTTAGCCATTTTTGGCGAAGAAAATATAAAGTATAATATATGATCCAGAGACAGCTGTTTGTATAAAGTTGCCTAGCCTAGCTCAAGGCTTGGTTGAGTTATTGATTTGCAACTGATATGACGTGAAAACGACAGCAAAAGCAAATCAGCTAAAAATTAACATATATACACAGAGACAGAAAGCTCTATATTAATGTTTACGTGTGTGATCGAGAGAAAGGTTAATTGTTATTGCAACTATTATGTAGTCAAACATCAACCGTTAATTCGGTTATTCGGTTATTCATTTCTCCATCCTCTCACCAAGGCCCAATTTGGGAAATGGCTAATAATTTATGTATTATATTTATATTTACAAAGGTGATTTTTTGACATTTTTTATAAAAGTAAACAAATATCTCGACAGTTTTACATAAACAGACACGTTGAAATAAAGAAATGTTTTTGAAAAAATATGTTAAAATGTTCTATAAGTAGTTTTTTTCCTTGAAGAACTTTTACATCTATGTTTTCGATATGATTATTGTTTTGTCGTTCTCAGCTGTTCATAACATTCTGTTCGGAAGCGAACCAACCCGCGACGGAACCGGAACCTAACACTGGGTACATTTCTGGACAGTATACTGTAAATTCTTTGACTTTGAAAAATACCAATACTAAAGTAACATGTGCTGAAGATTAGCAAAAAGGGATAACCCGGATAAGCTATGATTATTTCTACCGCATTCTCTTTTTCAGACCTGTGATCTGTGGCAAGGCAACCTCACGGCATAAGCCCTTACCTAACGGTTAACGGTTAACCTAACGGTGAATGTCTGCCATAACAAAATCCGGCACCGCGAGAAGTTTACCTGCATGCGCATTGTAATAATGTGAAGTTGGTAAAGAATTCGACGGATTCTTCAAAAGATACTGTTGTGCAGTTATCCTAATCAAGACATCGACTGCCTTTTTAATATAGCTAGTTATTAATCATAGTAGTGCATTGTGCATTGCTCATTGCATGTGCATTGTGAATGCAGAGAGTCATGTTACAATACGGATACGTGAGCGAGTCTACTTAAAAGGTGGATAAGTTCAAAATAGAAAGCAAGCCTATCATTTTATCCAACAAGCGAACTAAATGTTTTTGACCTTAAAATATTGTTTACAACTACATATTCAGTGTATAATGTTCAAGTATAGGAAGATGTTGAGAAATTATGTCACTATTAGTCTATTTTCATCCTTTATTTTCTTGTATTTTCAAGGCTCACGAGCCTTGGGAAACGTTCAATGACAAATACAAGCATGGGTTTGACTCATGTCAAGACACTATTCCGCTGCAGGCAAGCAAGCTTAAGTTTTCTATGACAAGTTTTGTATGCGACAAGTTTTAATTGTTCGTCTGTACACCCAACTTTGACAAATTTTTCTGAAAAGTACAAGTCAAAATCAAGCATATTCGCTTGTGTGTATGAGTCAACAAAGAAAACTTTTCAAATTCATGTGAGAATTTGTATGAGTTTGACCAGCGGACTATTGTATTTTGCAGTGGAAGCTAGCGCCGTATGTTTGACTGCCTTATCGATAAAAAACTGCTCAGGTAAAAAGAGAATTTATTGAATTTTAATTTGGAATCATAGAGATAAAGAAATAAGAAAAGTACTGAATTACGTTATGATTACATTACAATCCTTACGTTATTACATTATTCAGAAATGAAATTTTAAAATGGCGCCTGTGAGCGCGCTTACGTTTTCCACTGTACGATTACATCGCTGGCTGCAATCTAAATTGTCAAAGTAAACTTGTTGGCACGTTCACACAAGAAAATAAAACTTGTCAACGAAATAACTTGTCATAGAAAATTTGTTGTACATACACACTACAATTGCCAATAAAAAAATTTGTTATGTAAAAAATTGTAATAGAAAACCTGTTACACGGTGCAATTTTTCTTGCAACCTGCAATGCAATCCTACTTTTAGGAGACGTAAATTAGTACAGAGTATTCAAAATGAAATGGCAAGAAACGTACATGGAGTGAAATAAACATAAAAGTTTCGTAGTTGCCAAATTTACATCTCTCAAAAGTAGAATGCATTGCAAGTTGCAAGAAAAATTGCACCGTGTAACAGGGCCTTAAGCTAGGTGCTTAACTTTTGTAAAGGCTGAATATTTATGTATCGCATCTCAATATTATCATGCAATTAGCAGCGTGACTCCAATAACTTCGCATCAAATGTTCATATAGCTACGTTTATAACTATATCTACGAAAACATTTCAGTTTACGTTTCAAGTTTTTCATGTTTCGCCCAAGAGCGCTTTCTTCAGAACATGCAGAATTATTCAGAGAATAATAACAATATACTATTATTAGGTATAACATATGCATTATTTTCTTTAAAGACTCAGTTATTCAGTACCTTTTGGATAGTATCTATCATCTTGAATTTATGTTTTCCCTTTATTTCTATGCAGTATAAACTCCGTCTTTAGTGTAAATAGGTATAGAGAAAACATACTCCGAAAATAAACATATTGTAAACTCAAGATATAAGCTGTTAAAAAACAAGACATCTTGATATTGTGTCTTGTTTTTTAACAGCTCATATATCTTGAGTTTACAAGATGTTTATTTTCGGAGTATGTTTTCTCTTATATCAGTCGCAAAATTGTCTGCTGGAAAAGGTTTTTAGGGTAAATAGGCCTTGCTTATAATATAAACGAGAATAGAAATGTTAACTTCAAAGCAAAATGTGCTGCTTTAATTTATACATACTGTATGTAACAGATTAATCTTACAACACGCTCTATATTACTCCCTATTCGTTAAAAGCCTTTTCTTAAAATTAAATCTCTATGATAAACGTCCCTAAAAAACCCACATAGTTGACTGCGAATGACAGATAACAGTTGGCGGTAACAATTCCTGTATTCCTTTTGCCTCATGCTGTAAATAATTGGATTCATAATAGAATTTGCTACCGCGAGATCACCAAGGAAAACGGTGACAAATGTAGGGACGCAATCGCAAACCAGTCTGCCTATCAATATGGCAGACATAAACGGAACGAAGCAAAATAAAAAACAGCCAACTACAATTGCAAGTGTTTTAATCGCTTTCATCTCTCTTGCTGTCCTAAGGCTCGAACGCATTTCTGAAGCCAACTTTGATGACGACGCGCTTGAAGAATCATGGTTACAAGCTACACGATTTGTGTGCATTCGTCGAGCGTGGCCCCTTGCCAGTCGAACGATTTTGTAATTGTTGTAGAAGATTAAACACAAAGGTATGACGACGTAAATTATGGCAGCAATCAAGCCAAGCGACATTGGCAAAGAACATAATGTCCGTACTTTGGCCGGTTCGGCGTATACGGCCATTATGGGAGGAAAAAGAGAAGCGCATATCCAAATACTAAAAAGAACACCGTAGGTTCTCCGCCATGTCATGATCAATGGGTATCTGAGAGGTGATGATATGTAAAGGTAGCGATCAAATGAAATTGCCAATAGCGTTAACGTGGATACAGAAATAAACAGGATAGCAATGGCGTAACTAAATTTACAAAAGAATCTCTGATCACTTCGAACTTCCGTAAATATCATACCATACTCTGCAATCCATGTTGGATAAACAGTCAAGCATGTTAGAAAGTCTGCGCAGGCCAAGTTAGCAACCAGATAACCCGTTTGCGTTTTATCCTTTTGCAAGTAGAGGTTATAGATTATCACACCAAAGTTTCCGAGCACACCACATACGAGGTAAAAGCTTTTGAAAACGATTAACGCCGTAAGGTAAGTCCGAGGAAATGGAATGACTTCTGATTTTGTTGTGTTTATCATTTTGCTGCGTTGTCTTTTATTATCGTAAGCAACTGGTGCAAAGAGGGACGGAAAATATGAAGTAGTATATATTTATCCCGGCAGCTGCTTAAAAACAGTTGGCTGGCACCATTTTGTCGTGATCTTGATAAGAAATTCGCGTTATATGACATAAGGGAGTGAAATTAACGACAATCGACAATGACGATTTTTAAAAACATTATATGCATATTTAAACATTTACATGCACGCCTTGTTATTTGAAAAAAGAATACTTCGTTCTTGTGTTATTACCCGGCCGTAGCTAAAAGCTTAATTGGGGGTGTATATTCATATATTTGTCCTATGCCTGACTGATTTCTTTTGTACGCTATTGTTCCTACGGTATATAAACATGAATATATGAATGTATACCCCTCCCCCAATTAAGCGGTCTAGCTACGGCCCTTGTTATTACTATACTTGTACACGTAGGAACCATCACGTGCATGAATGGAAAGCTCTAAATATTGACATCGTAGATTTACACATTTGAGTACTATAGTGAATATTATAATTAGATTAGTGTCCTAAACTACCTGGTTACACCTTTTGTCTCCCCCTATCATTTAAATATAAAACTACATACGTATTCAATTCCTGTCAACCTAGGAATTCAAAAAATTGTTTTTTTTGGTATATCTATACTAAAATTGAATCTCTTATAGAGACCGACGTATAGTTGTGATCACGAGTGTCCAAATTTAAATAAGCCAATTACGACCACATAATTATGCATATATACTGTATTATAAATGAGCAAAGCCATTTGCAGACATTGATCTCCAATCTCCAATAATCTCAACAATACGTAACACGTATGTTGTATATACATGAACTTTTCTTGCGATTATATTAATTTGTTGCACACGTTTAAAAAATATGTATATATGTATGCACATCTTTTCACAAGTTTACACATCGGTTTGCACATTCACTTGGCGATTTGGCTTTTGCCTTAAACGTCAAGCTACATATGAATGACAACAAAAAGTTCAGTTGGCGGTAACAATTCTTGTATTCCTTTTGCCTCATGCTGTAAATAATTGGATTCATAATAGGTTTGTTGCAGTGAGGCCGCTAAAAAGAATAATGATAACTGTAGGGACGCAGTCACAAACAATGCCTTGAACCAACATGACGATCGAGTATGGAGCGAGGCACCAACGCGTAAAAATCATCATGTTGATGCAAGTTATTAAAAACAGGAGTGAACAATGTTGCGCTGCACCCTGCATGTGAACAGTGTTGTTAATAATGTTGTTGTTGAAGCTTGTTGAATCATCAATGTTGTTGCAACTTGTTACAACAACATTGCATCAACATTGATGATTCAACAAGCTTCAACAACATTGTTAACGATACTGTTCCCAGGGTGCAGCATAACATTGTTCACTCCTTATGCGACAACCTGATCAATCTTTGGCCGTGTACAATGGCAAATGTTTTCAGCGCTTTCATCTCTCTTGTCATTCCATAACTGAAATTCATTGCAGAAGCCGATTCTGAAGAGCATGACGACGCATATGTATGAGAGATATCATCATTAAAGGCAGCACGATCTTTTTGTATCCCTCGAACGTGTCTTCTGGCCGGTCGATAAACTTGTAATTGCAGTAAAAGATTAGACCAATAGGTATAATGACGTAGATCATGGCTTCAATAAGGGCGACGACAATTGTTTCGGAACATATAGTCCTAACCTGGGCCGGTTCTATATACATCGCTACCGTGGGAGAATAAGGGAGAGTGCATATCCAAATGCCAAAGAGAATACCGTACGTTTTCCGCCACTACTTCCATAACCGCCTCGATTTTTTTTGTGTTGATACACCAGAACTCGACCCCCTGTGCTTGCGAAACGTTTGCACACATCACTTCCCAACCAACGCGTTAACTACACAGGCATTAGTCACAAGCTTCAAGTTCTCAATCGTTCCAAAGCACCTGGCCCAGATGGGATTCCAAATTGCATCTAAGTTGGCTGAAGACATCTTAATCGATGTAGTCTCTCGTGTAGTTTTGGACATAGACGGATTATAAATAACCCTATAGAGGAGGCATTGGTATCGGAAAAATTAGTCCATAAAGGGAGCGCGCTAATGGGGGGCAAATTCAAGTCCCGGATGCTAAGCGAAGCGCTGATTGGCTACATCAATGCCTCCTTTAAACTAAAATTTGTATTAAAAAAATTACATTCGTTTTTTAGGTTGCTTTGCCGGAAAAAACAGTGCCTTCTTGTACTGATTCTAATACCTTAGACATCCTGAAATGATATTTTAGGGGAACCATTTAGAAATAAAAAAAACTCGTTAAAAACGGCATAATTTGGCCTCGGACATCGTGAGTGAGTGCACATCTGGGACTTTGATTTGCTCCCCATTAACACTCTTCCCAATTTCTCCTCGATGCCCTCTCTAATTTCTAATTGGAGGTGGTTACTCAGGATTAATTTGGCGGCATTCCAAAATCATCAGTAACTTTTACCCTCATCAGTATTATTCATACATATGCCCAAGTGACTGATGGTACTGCACGGTGTTTCCGTTTATTTTCTTGTGTTCGATTACCGCAAAGCCTTTGATCTGATTGATCATAACATTCTGGTTCACTAAATCCGGAAGCTCTTTATTCCTCTGCCTATTATTAACTGTCGATCTTTTAACATTTAGGAAAACATGAGTCAAACTCGCCAGGGGTTATTTCGCCGAAAGGGGCCCAAAGAACAAAACTAGGCCCATGGCTCTTTAAATTCATGATTAACGATCTGAATCTAACTGATTTCCAAATGTGGAAATATATATTGACGATGAAGGACTGGCAATCAGTAACGACCTAAAATGGTCCAAACATGTTGCCGAAATGATCAAGAAGGTTAACAAACGAAAATATTTTATTATTCAGCTGAAATGGCCGCCAAAGAAATAATCAACTTTTACTGTACATGCGTAAGACCAGGAGTATAGCTGCAAAGTTTTCTTAATGTTCTTAAAGTTTAATGTTTGCCACAAATATACATATATATCAATTACCAAGAAAATAAAATTACATGTACAACATTTAAATAAATTACGAGTAATATCTATGGCAATATTTATGGCAAGGAGACATTCTGAAACCACCAGGCTTATTATGTGAATGCCTCACACAGAATATTTAAATATTAATATAGAAAATTATTACATAATGACAAAATGACACATTACAACAGAACCATTCCGATATACAAGGAATTCAACACACATTCATACTGCGACAAATATAACAAATAAATTAGAAATTAAGAATTAATAACGTATAACGTAATGATGGTAATGACAACTTGACATGATTTTCCTATCACTGACATCACTATTGATCAAGAAGATATTTTTTCATTCCAATCCTGAAGGAACGGAAAGTCTCTGCTTGTTTTACACTCTCCGGAAACGAATTCCATAGTTTATGGCCATTGAAAAGAATAGTGTGTTGTTTCTTTGTGGTACTACAAGAGTGTGTTCGGTAGAACTTTGCATATTTTGTGTTATAATTATGAATTTAATTCCATTTTGCCCTGCCCATACCGGCGTGCATTCAAAGAATTTTCTTAGATCCTCAATTTTATAACTTTCTAACATAATTTTACAAATACGTTTCTGCATATTTAGTGTATATACTTTACTAACCTTTAATTTTATTAACTATAATTAAAAATTATACCACGAGCTCGAGGCGTATATGAGCTGATAACCATATACATACGACGAGAGCGAGTAGTATAATTGTTTTATAATATAGCCAAATACCATTTGTTGAGCGACGAAAGTATTCCAGAATACTGTCAATTTCTTCTTTATTTACCTCAGCAAAACGGTCAGTCAACTTGCTTTTTCTTTGGTTTTGTTACCCACCGTATATGAGCTGATATACGATGTCTAGATCGACCAATCAGATTGCGGAATAGCTCATATATACAGTGAGTAGCAATATTAAAACTTTAAATATTTTATGAGCTAAAAATTTTCATTTGTCTTGAGCAAGGGCTAATCGACCATGACTATGTACAATAAAAGTGGATTAATCAAAATTCTGCAATACATCATTAAAATAAAAATTCTGCAATACATCATTAATCAACTTTTATTGTTCATAGTCATGGTCGATTAGCCCTTGCTCAGGACAAATGCAAATTTTTAGCTCATAGCCGGCATATAAGGACATGTTTATTCTAGTTTTAATTCACTTGAGAATGATGTTATGATGACATCGAAACGTCGCAGAAACAAGTTTGACTGTCTGGTTTTCGAAATGCTTTTCATCAAAGAACTAAAGCCCAGCTTAAATGGACAGTCGGATTCTATTAAATCTAAATTATTTTAATTAGTCCTATGTTGTACATTATACATTATTACACCATAGCTTTTATCCTTTATATATAACGTATTTTAATGATGTATTGCAGAATTTTTATTAATCCACTTTTATTGTACATAGTCATGGTCGATTAGCCCTTGCTCAGGACAAATGCAAATTTTTAGCTCATAGCATATAAGGACATGTTTATTCTAGTTTTAATTCACTTTGAATATTTTACTCTGTAAATCATATCTCTATTGAATCTAATTATTCTTGTAAAATAACGCGCAATTCAGTCATAGTAGTCTGCAATGTGTTTTCTTAAATAAATCTATCTTTTGAACCGCAACGCTATATACGATTCGAACAACAGAGTTTTCGAGTAACCTTGTCTTCGGACACCAACATCACGGCAGACACCAAATGAATTTTTGATTTTGTGAATATGACAGTAATACTACTGGGGTCGGTTGTATCAAACCCGTTTAGCTTAAACGGTGGTTAAGTTCAAAATAGAAGGCATGTCTATCGTTTTATTCAAGAAGCAAACTAAATGTTTTTAACCTTAATACAAAGATACTGTTTACAACTACATATTCAGTGCATAATATTCAAGTTGACTCATTTAAGAGAGATGTAAGAGTGTTATTCAAATTTAACTTATCCACCGTTTAAGCTAAACGGGCTTGATACAACAGGCCCCTGAATAGGCAATTCCTTTTCTGCATGATTAGCCGACTTTGTTACCTAACGGGTAATGGCCTCTAATAACTTAGATCAGTCGACTGCGAATGACAGAAATCAGTCGGAGATAACAATTCTTATATTCCTTTTGTCTCATGCTGTAAATGATTGGATTCATAATGGAGTTCACACCTGCCAGATCGCCAAACAAAATGATGACAACGGTAGGAACGCAGTTACAAACTAGACTTTGTACCAACAAGACAGACGTGTACGGAGCGAGGCAAAATAAGAAAACGCCAAGTACAATTGCAAACGTTTTTATAGCCTTCATTTCTCTTGTTATTCTGTGACGAGAATGCATTTCTGACGCCGATGTTGATGAGTTGAATGAAGAACTAGGTATATCATGAATACAAGCTACCCGATTTTTGCGGATCTTTCGAACTTGTCCTCTAGCCAGTAGGAAAATCTTGAAATTGTAGTAGAAGATTAGACAAATGGGCATAAAGACATAAATCATGGCAGCAATCAAGACGAGAACAATTGGACCAGAACACGAAGTCCGTACTTTGGTGGGTTCTTCGTACACGGCTATTATCGGAGTACAAAGGGAGGCGCATATCCAAATACTGAGAAGAATAGCGTAGGTTCTTTTCCATGTCATGATCAACGAGTATTTGAGAGGTGATGATATATAAAGGTAGCGATCGACTGTGATTGCTAATAACGTTAACGTAGATACAAAAACGAACTGGCAACTAGTCGTGTAACTAAATTTACAAAAGAAAGTCTGATTACTTCGCACTCCCGAAAGTATCATGCCAAATTCTGCGATCCATGTTGGATAGATAGTCAAGCATGTCAGAAGGTCTGCGCAGGCCAAGTTAGCAACCAGATAACCCGTTTGTGTTTTTTCGCTTTTCATGTAGAGGTTATAGATTATGACGCCAATGTTCCCGAGTACACCAAATACCAGGCAAAAGCTTTTGAACACGATTAGGGCGATAAGGTAAGTCCGAGGAAGTGGAATGATTTCCGATGCCGTTGTGTTTGTCATTTTAAGGCGTTTTATTATCGTAAACCTAGCTGAAACTGATGGAAGAGGCGAAGAATATATTGATTAGTCTTTTGAACAGCTGTTCTAATACGCAAACTGTAGCACTTGGCGTGGGTTGATTTATTTATTCAGAGTATATGACGTAGGGCAGTGAAAAGAACATGCATGCAACGAGAGACTATGATAGATAGTTAAGAAAATTCTTATCTACATGCATAAAGGAGGAATTCGGCTGCTTTTATAATAATTATCAAGTCTTATAATTATCCAGATAAGGCCTTAATGCATGGCTGTTATGGCAACTATTATGCATATATATGAGGACAAACGACTACTAACCGTTTAGCTATAATTATATAACAGCGAACGGTAAAACTTCAACGCATTAGTTCATGTGTACGACTTGATACTAGAATAATCCACTGTAAAATTAAACTACAAAATGCTTATGCCTTTTACTATATGCACACGCAGACACCGATAGAAAGCTAAAAATTAGCATTGAAGCTTTGCTTAGCTGTGTAAATATTAATAAAAGTAATAGCTATTAGAATTATTGCATGCAATATGTGCACTGGAAAAACCCCGATTATAAAACAATTGTAATGTTAATTGCACCATTGAAAATATTGAATTGTCATAAAGAGCGACAGTAATCATTCCCCATACAGGTAATCTTGCTATTAAATACTCCCATTAAACCTATGCGATTTGGTCGATTTTCCTATAATATAAGAATATAAATTGGTGAGAATATATTATAAATTTTAGCCCGCATGACGCATATTCACAATACTTTTTTGTCAATAGAGTTATACCATGCATATATATAATCATGCATCCAAAATGCAATCTTCAGTTTGCATGCATTTGTAATAATATTACATACATATTTCACTATATTCATTGGCGGCTATATTATGATGCACGGTGCGGCGACGTCTCTAGAAGCTTATTTTAGGGAGTGTTGTATATATACATATTTAACTTGTGCCGAACTCATTTGTTTTTGAATTGATTTTTATTTGTTTTTGACGATGACTATATGTGAATATACACCCTACACAATGAGCGAGACTGTGGCATGCGTTTATCTGCATATGTAAACTAAAAAAAATTCGCCAGATTTTATCAAAAGATTTTTAATTTGTTCTTCTGTCGCAGAGAACGTCATATGAAGCCTGTTTAAATCTTGGAATTAAAAATTGTTTAAAAAACAGTAATCGCCATATCATATAGTTCACTGTGAAATCATGAAACATCATGCACTCTTAAAATTATACGGATTCATTTCGTTCAAATCCTCAAATGGTGCTTTAATAAAATGTTTGTGTTGATAAAAATACTATGGGCATGCGTGTCAAACTGCAAAAATAAGGTATCCCTTAATTTAAACTGTTCTTCCCAATTATTATTTACCAAATCACACAATATAGGAATTAGCTAGTTGAACGGTTATCCATTTTGTTACGACACCGAAAAAGGAGTGTGTAAACTTCAGTTTATATATCAATGATTATATTCAGGACCGTAGTTAGAAGTAAAATTAAGGGGGAAAGATTAGTATAATTCATGTTCAAATAAGCGTAAAAAAATCGTTATCAAAAGAACTCAGTCCGCATAAGACGAATGGATGAATAATTTGTCCCCCACACTGATTAAGCTTCTAGCTATGCGGTTTTGATGATATTATATTTATATTGGTCAACGACGCGTGCGGTTCAAATAAAGGTTTAATTAATATTCACAATAATTATATATAGTATTTTTTTCGACGAATCCTACAAATTGATTGGCTCCGCTGACGAGTCAGGATTTCTCGTATTGCATGCAAACGCGCGAAAAGCTAAGCGACGAGGACTCTGAAAGAGAATTTTATTACCCAGAGGATGTAAATGAATGCCTCGCTTTATTTTCCCGCTCCGGTATCCACGCTTTTAGCCAATCAAGTTCCTTCACGATCATTTGCTGATTTGGAGTCTTTTTTCCTATCCGCACAGCTAAAGGTTTTACTCAGTTAATAATGTATGTATTGTTGTAAACTTTTTAACAATCCGCGTAATAAAAATATGCGGCTGTGTTCTCTCAACGAACTTATAAAATTGCTCACATTCATAAGATCATCTCGATTCAGGTAGTTGATGACCAAAAAATTCCAAGAAATTCCAAGAAATTTTGGGCCTTGTAAGCGCGCGCTGTTAATTATGCAGGCTAGGGGGGCTTTTTTACCATATAAAGGAAAGCGCCCTGTGTATACTTTTTATAGTATAGATAAAGCGTTGTATGGTAGTTGAAGGCCATTATGTTGAAAGTTAAATTCATATTATTATGTATAACAAGTTTCAGACTATGTTGAATGTATATGAAAAGATCTATCACGTCACCTTGTCAAACCTATTTTCTACAATACAAAAAACAAACAGTCCTGGTATTGCAGTATATATTTGTACCATTGTTTTTATCTTGACTCATTTATGCTGGCATTATTGTACAATAATTGTTTTTACTATAAAAACGCCTCCATGCACCGGGCCTATATGGTGGAATTTGTGTTTTAAATACACAAATAATTCACAACAACGTTTTAAATACATAAATAATTCACAGGAACGATAATTAGGGGGGGGACGATAGTTGGTTAATTTTCATATATTCAGTTCCGCCCTATATATACGTTTTCTAATTAATTCATGAATAGCAAGCTTTAATCAAGTTCCTACAAAAACCGACATCAGGCGAATGCGAATGGCAGAAAAAATTTGGTGATAACAATTCTTGTATTCTTTTTGCCTCATGCTGTAAATGATTGGATTCATAATAGAGTTTGCTCCCGCGAGATCGCCAAGCAAAACGGTGACTATCGCGGGGACGCAGTCACAAACCAGACTACCTATCAAAATGACGGACATGAAAGGAACGAGGCAAAGTAAAAATACACCAACCACGATGGCAAATGTTTTGATCGCCTTCATCTCTCTCGTTATTTTATAACTGAAACGATTTTCTAAAGCTACTCTTGATGACGACGCCGTTGGGTTAACATGATTAAAAGCGACACGATCTTTGTGCATTCTGCGAACGTGTCCTCTTGCCAGTCGAAAAATTTTGTAATTGTAGTAGAAGATTAAACTCAAGGGTATGACGACGTAGATCATGGCTGCAATGAATGCAAGAGAAATTGGGGCAGAACATAAGGTCCGTACTTTGGTCGGTTTTTCGTATTCAGCTAGTATTGGAGGAAGAAGAGAAGCGCATATCCAAATGCTAAAAAGAATACCGTAAGTTCTCCGCCATGTCACGATCAATGGGTATCTGAGAGGTGATGATATGTAAAGGTAGCGATCAAAAGAAATTGCCAATAGCGTTAACGTGGATACGAAAATGAACTGGCAACTAGTGGCGTGGCTGAACTTACAAAAGAATGTCTGATCGCTTCGAACTTCCTTGAGAATCATACCATACTCTGCAATCCATGTCGGATAGATAGTCAAGCAAGTTAGAAGATCTGCGCAGGCCAAGTTAGCGACCAGATAACCCGTTTGCGTTTTGTCGGTTCTGGTGTAGAGGTTATAGATTATGACACCAATGTTTCCAAGTACACCACATACCAGGCAAAAGCTTTTGAAAACGATTAACGGCATAAGGTAAGTACGAGAAAATGGAATAACTCCTGGTTCTGTTGTGTTTGTCATTTTCATGCGTTCGTTTTCAATAACGTGAACGACTGATGGCTAAAGGAGATGTGGCAGAAGATATAAAGCAGTAAATATCCGGACAGCTGTTTTAAAAGGGAAATTTGAGAGACGACATCCCGGAGATGAAAAGCTGTAAACAATTACTGGCATCGCAGACGGATGCGGTTGTATAAAAATTACCTAATCTACATTATTGCCTAATATATAAGTCGTTAATTGTCTTCTTGAAATTTATATTACTGTTTCTTGAATATTAAAAACCGATTAAACATACGTATCCAATCCTTGAAATTTATAACTATTAGGTATATATCATTGCCACTAATTATTAAACGTTTGCATACATCCAATAACTTAAATGACTGCCTCCACTGAATTTGAGTCCTTCATAGAAACCGATAGCGTTTTTAGAAAACAGTTTATATTTTATTAATAATTTTTAATAATTATATATACACATATAGTATTCTGATTTTAATAGAGACATCAATTGCAAATTTTTATCTCCCATCTTTGTACGAAATGAACATGTGTTATACACTCAATTCATTCGCGCTAACCTTATCGTTTTCTCTGACGAAAAAACCTACAGTTATTTAATAAATAATAACCCATAGACTGCATGCAGTATAGATCTATATCATTAATAATAATAACATAATATTATATACTATATATAGACTGCAGTAGATGTTGACATGTGTAAACAAGTCATTGAGTGAGAAAAAAACAGCTGGTTTATTCGAAAGTTACGCATTTTGTCATCGTAATTTATTATTCTCAGTAGCGTAACCAGCCTGACGATTAGTCCCACTATAGACATCAATTTCCGAGCGGGTGCGAGCACCGTGTGAGGGTACTAATTCCGCCCGGGTGTTGTGACAGAACATAGCGGAATCCAAAGTTTCCAAGTCATGAACCTTGTTTGTACGCATGCGCGAAATTTGAACGAGTAAAGAATGTTAATCTACAACTCACTGATTGGCTTAGACAAAAAAATCATTAATTCAGTTTTAAAGCCTTATAATTATATAAAGTCGACTGCAATCATTGCATAAATTAAATAATCAAAAAACAACATTCGACGTTTAGTGCTTGGGGATTTAATTTGTGCTGTTTTTGGCTTTGAACATTTAGCTATAGTAAAGTAACTCTCACACATACTGTGACTAAATGCAGGAGGAATACTGCTGATTTTACTTCACCTTTACGACTGTGTTTGTTTCTAAAAAATTTGAAACATGAGCTATCATAACACCGCTAATGCAGGAGTATATATGCATGATATCTTAGTTTTCATGATAGCTGCATATTATTCTTATGTACTTTTTTTCGCGGTTGATTGGAATGTTGTAGCTCGTCTGAAGAGAATTCTTGAATGTGTTAATTTGACTTGCAGCAAAACTTGCAGAAAATTTCATAATTACGGGTCGTGTTTATATATATGTGTATTGTATGTTTTGTGTATAATAATTAGTAGTGCAAGTGGCTTATTATTTAGCAGCCTCAACTAGTCAAAGCTAGGATCTTAAGGCATCATGACCATGTTTTCTGTGAAGAAGTGTATTTTGGCCATTTACTAGCTATAGTTTCTCAGTACACGCACAATTTTGCACATGAGATCCATAGTGAATCAGCAATTAATTTTAATTATTCCACAATATGAACAATTACAAGATATTATACATTGCATCTCCTGCATGTCAAAAACCGCAAACTTCGATTTTCATAAAAAAATTGCCATTGCATTTACCCTACGGCTCATGCATTTCGTTGAGAAATAATTAGTGAAATGGGAAACAATTATTACATATATACATTACACATATGGCAGACGTATATAGGCTTACTAGCATTACTAGCTATAGTTTCTCAGTACACGCACAATTTTGCACATGAGATCCATACTGAATCAGCAATTAATTTTAATTATTCCACAATATGAACAATTACAAGATATTATACACTGCATCTCCTGTCAAAAACCGCAAACTTCGATTTTCATAAAGAAAATTGCCATTGCATTTACCCTACGGCTCATACATTTCGTTGAGAAATAATTAGTGAAATGGGAAACAATTATTACATATATACATTACACATATGGCAGACGTATATAGGCTTATACAAAATTAAATTTCGACTTATGCGAGTAAATATGCGAGTACGACGGAGTTTCACTTCTAAATTTACATCACTGCAGAATTTAACAAGTTCTATGTGTAGAACGATTTTAATTATAGTTATATTCATGCTATTCCGCCTCTAAAAACCCATATTAGTCGACTGCGAATGACAAAAAAAAATTGGCGATAAAAATTTTTATATTCCTGTTGCCTCATGCCGTAAATGATTGGATTCATAATGGAGTTCGCTAACACGAGATCGCCAAGCAAAACGATGGCAACATCAGGGACGCAATCACAAGACTTTACCAACAAAAGAATCGCGTACGGAACACAACAAAGTAAGAAGACACCGATTACAATGACAAATGTTTTGATCGCTTTCATCTCTGAAGTAAATGACGACGCACTTGGTGTATCATGATTAGAATCAACACGGCTTGCGTGCATCCTTCGAATTTGTCCTCTCGCCAGTCGGAAAATCTTGCAATTGCAATAAAATATTACACCCATAGGTACGACGATGTAGATGATGGATGCAATCAGGGCGACAGCAATAGGTTCCAAACACATGGTCCTTACGTTTCCCGGTTCTATGTAGATCGCTACTATGGGAGAATAAAGCGAAGCGCATATCCAAATACTTAGAAGAATGACGTAAGTTTTCCGCCATGTCATGATCAATGGGTATCTGAGAGGTGATGATATATAAATGTAGCGATCGACTGTAATCGCCAGTAGCGTTAACGTGGACACGCATATGAACTGGCGTGCAATCGTGTAGCTAAATTTACAAAAGAAAGTCTGATCGCTTTGTTCTCCTGCAAGTATCATACCAAACTCCGCAATCCATGTCGGATAAACAGTCAAGCAAGTTAGAAGGTCTGCGCAAGCCAAGTTAGCCACAAGATAACCCGTAGGCGTTTTATCGTTTTTCGTGTAGAGGTTGTACATCATGACACCAAAGTTTCCGAGTACGCCACATATCAAACAAAAGCTTTTAAGCACGATTAGCGCAATTAGATAAGTTCTTGTGAGCGGAATAACTTCTGATTTCGTTGTGTTCGTCATTTTTCAGTGCATTTATTATCGTGAGTGCTCATTATTGTGAGCAACTGATAGCAAAAGGCGAAGAAATGTAGTATTCATTATACAACCGAACAGCTGTTTAGAAACAACTCGGTCAAGTGCTTGGCGTAAGCTAATTATGGGATTGACTGTATAATTATATGCATGAACCATGATGGGAGACAATGATGCTAAACAATATACTGTATACCAATAAAAAAGACAGCACATGCAAGCTTTTTATTTTAATTTGTTATTATTATTTACAAGGAGGATTATTAAAAATTTTTGGCGACTGATTGGTCACACGACTTTAGATTATATTACGCGATAATCCCCTAAGCGGGTTTAAAAGCGACAAACTTTGGTCTTAAATGTTTTCGAGGTAAAAATCAGCATAAGGATTTTGTTTGCAACAATAGGTTTAACGCTATTTTGCGTAAAAGATCGTCCATATGCAAAGCATCGATTATTATTTTTGTACAATTATCTAGACATTTGTTTGCTTTGTAAAATAATTCATTTCAACAACAGATCGGTTTTCTTATATTATCACTATTGCAACTGTACTAAATTAGGGTGCATATGCAGACGAAAATTCATGTTGGTACAAATTTGAAGAGGAAAATCAAGAGTTGTATCTTACTCAATAACGTATCTTCAATGACTTTGTATAAATATTTAACTCGAGGTTAAAAGCGCACGCATGCAGCGTGGCTAAGTTAAGTAGTATATTACTCGCGTCAAGTTCATGCAGTTAATATCGCTTGATTAACTGAAGTCAAATTTGTTCCAGAAAAAGTTGTCTGATTGCTATAATGACGGACAATCGTCATGCCAACAACTACACTTAGGCCCGTCTCAGACGTCGAAATTTTCATGTGCCGAAACTAATGTTAATAAGCGGGGTTTAAGTTCATTTGCATTCGATTCGGCACATGAAAAGTTCGACGTCTGCAACAGCTAGGTCTTCGATACAACTGATAACGAAGAGGGACAATAATCATGCAGCCATGTGAATTTTGAACTTATTTAGCAGAGTGTGAATATGGGTGTACTTTTGTATCACGTTGCCTAGGTTTAGGATGTGAGTTCTAGGTTTAGGAAATGAACAAAATCCATTCATTTTGTTACGCGACTTTCCGACTTACTTACATTATGCAAGAGATAAAAAATAGAAAAGTCAGTATTGACAAAAAAGATTCGGAACATATCACTTAGCATGACATGGGAAGTAATGATTGATTTGTGCCCCAAACACGTGGGGGTATATAAAGATTATTCTCAGAGTATGAATATAGGTGTATTTTTGTATCATGTTGACTAGGTTTAGGATGTGAGTTATAGGTTTAGGAAATGAACAAAATCCATTCATTTTGTTATGCGACACTCCGATTTGCTTGCATTATGCAAGAGATAAAAAATAGAAAAGTCAGTGTTGGCAAAAAAGATTCGGGATACATCACTTAGTATGACATGGGAAGTAATAATAAATTATTAATTTTTGCCCCAACCACGTGGGGATAAAGATTATTTTCGGTCATTCCCAATTATCTATTACTTCCCTTTTCAGCATGTCAGCTTAGGTGAAGAATTAGAGTAGTATTTAGTGGTTTTAGTGTCAATCATTTTGTCCAAGCTCTCGTTTTAGGTAAACTTTGGCGCGTGGTGACCCGTAAAGGTGTTTACTCAACACAAAATCCCAAGCCAAGCTAACTTTAATATTGAAAACGGAAGTCAGTTATGTCAATGAGTAAATTCTCTAATATAATAGTTAATACAATACAACGAAGTAAAGTCTGGTTTTCATTTAATTTAGTCGTAATGTTGTGAGCAAGTCATTTTCACCAATGAGAATATGTATAGTCCGGAAGCAAATTTGTCTTCAAATTCAAATCCGTCATTGTCCACTTCACACACCATTGGGGCGTAGGAAAATAATATATATGCATGGGGGGATCAAAAATATCTTTCGCCCCCCCCAATAATACAGTAGTTTTAAAGAAAACGCTTTGAAATTCAAACTGAGTTTTGGAAATTGTATATATGTAGAAATAGCAATTATGACTTATTCTTTGACTCGTGCTATTTTGAAGAAGTATAAATTAAACCAAAAAGAAATGGGCATTCCCGAGGATCTAAAGTAATCAAATTTCAAAAACGTTTTGACTCGGTGCCAACCATTGTACACATTCCTATAAGATGAACACATTGTAAAGATATGCTATAACTACAGTACTGTCTAGAAATAACGTAACACTGCGGTTGCGGTTCAGCTGAGGTCCAACAAAAGCAATGTTAATTCGTAAGGTTACGTCATTCTGTTTCATAATAACAAACTTAATTTGATCTGCATGCATAGCTTAGCAAATTTGCTGCTTAAATGTATATTTCTAGTTAAAATAGTACTCAATATTTTGTTTGCGAAGTAGTATGGATCTGCCGCATTTCATGCACGAAGGCATGCGTGCTTTTTCAGCCGTCCTCTCTAACGGTGAATGTTTAAATACTCACATGCAACTGTCATGAAGAATAGGGTATTATGATATGAATATGCTAATGATTTGTACATATGTTAATAATAATTAAGAGAGTTATATAAACTGGGGGGTATAATCTTTGAAATAAATCATAAAAATGCGTTGTTTTAACGTATCAAAGTGATGAACAGTGGAATTTTTGAAAACTGTATCGAGCCACCTTAAACTTAGCTACATTACTTTTGCAAGTTTTATATGCACTATAGGCAAATTTTTATTGGTATATATTCCGATCTTTTCTTTTTTTGTCAACCGTCATTCACGTGTCGTGTCATATACGTTACCTAACAGTTAGGCGTTTGCCGTAAATGACGAGCTCAATTACCTAGAAAACCGCATCAATCGACTGGGAATGACAAAAAACAGTTGGCGATAACAATTCTTATATTCCTTTTGCCTCATGCTATAAATAATTGGATTCATAACGGAGTTCGCTGTAACGAGTTGACCCACCAAATTGAAGACAGCTGAAGGGATGCAATCACAAGACTTTGACAACAAAACGATCATATGTATTCATTTGTGATTTCGCGCTGCTAATAATGGAAGTGATTTTAGACGAGCTCCAAAAGAACAATATTAATATTGATATGAACTAATCATATCAATTATTTACTTGTGCAACACAAGTCTACATACCAATCGGCAGTTTTAAATTCTTCTGATTTGGTAGTTATTTTTTATGAAATCAATGTGAGCAAGTTTGGTCGCGCAATGGCCTACTTAGCATTGGTTTCTTTGATGATAAACTCCGAGGAGGTCACGCGTGGAGCCTTAAGGCTCGTTGCTACACGGCTTCAGAGCCTCGATTTTGAGGCTCAAACAGAGCCTTTTCCACCGAGTGATTTCTTTTATCAAACACATTTTCTCTCTATAGAACACATGGATATGTATCATGAAATTCATTGTGTGTGTATCCGCGATGGATGTGCGATTTAAAACGCCTGCAAACTTTTATGTTTGTGGACAAAGCCAAAGTGGGAAATCTTATTTGATTCGAACCATGTTGCATAACTTAGAAGAACTTTTCAATCCAGTTCCAACCAATATAATATACTAGTACGGTATATATCAGCAAGAATTTGAACAGCTGTTGCAAAAGTTTCCTAATCTTACACTAGTAGAGGGGTTTCCGGATGATTTATACGATTTGGAAAAAGGACACGATAACTCTCTTGTCGTACTGGACGATTTGATGTCTCAATGTTCCAACGATCAACGGGTAGCAGATTTATTTACGCGTGGCTCTCATCATCGGGGTACATCCGTTCTCTACCTTACGCAGAACTTGTTCCCACCAGGAAAGTTATCACGGACGATAAGTTTGAATTCCCACTACATGCCAATATTCCGAAACCCACGTGACTCGATCGGTATTGCGACATCTTTTGGAGGCATTCCATGATGCTACAAGTAAACCTTACGGTTATCTAATGGTTGATTGTCATCAGTTGACGCCGGAGAATATGCGTCTCAGAACATCTATTCTTCCTGGAGAAAGACAAGTCGTCAACGTGAGACGTACAAAAGTTACGCGCGTTGACCAACGGCTATTAGTGTAAACATGTCGAAGCGCATGAAAGAAAGTCTTCCGTATCTTCAAGTTATGGTGTTTGCTAAATACGAACAAAAGCAAAAAATTGAAACGTCGCCAATTGTAAGAAACATGATTAAGATATTCTTCAACGCACTGATATTGATGATGCGCAAAAACAGAAACTATACTATGCCAATCTGGAAAGTTTTATGAATCTCAGGCAACAAAAGGATGAGGAGATCCCAACTGTTAGGCTGGTAACGGAGAGAAACACAGAAAAAGACGACGGGGCAAACGAAATCAACCCGCTGCCCGATTCCGTGATTGTAGATAATACATCCAAAACAATGCGTTTAAGAGCGACAGCATTGTTGAACCGTTTGAAAACGAGACCTGACGTTATTTCTTGGGATAAGACTGGAGAAGTCACCTTGGAGGGCAAAAAGGTTCCACGTTCAAACATTTCTGATTTGATCAGCGACGCTATGAGAAGAAGAAAGAATTTTAATCCTAAAGGATCGAAAGAATTTTTTACTGTTTTGTCCAAGATGAGCATACCTACAGACATTGTGAGGAATGAGGAAAGGTTAAAACAAATGGATACTCTGTCTGCAGGAGGAGAATCCGTTGTCAGTACACCCAAACAATCAGCTTATTTTGAAGAGACATGATACACAGGAAAAAACTCCAAAACAATGGATTAGATATTGAATTTTGTAACTGCATGTTCTAATAAATTAATAAATGGTTATTTTCCGACCCGTTTTAGATGCTTCTTTTTTTTCTCCTTTTTTAAACACACACACACACACGTTGATTTTTTTTTGACAACATTTATTTAAACAACTTTTTACTTTGTTGTTCTACAGCATTTGATTCTTTCAACATTACTTTAAAATTATTTTTAACAAAATGAGATATACTTTTTCATCATTTAACAATGTATTTTTACTAAATAACTGAACAATCTTATTCATGCTATGTCCACGTGCCCTATGACCAAGATAAAATATGCAATATTGGCCACAAACATCCGACGAATTG